CCGAGGTCCCGTCTGCCTGTCAGATGCTATGGCACTATTCAAGAAGAGAAGGGAGTTTCTTTCAACAAGTGTCCTGGCCAAAACTCCCCCAAATAAAATTGGTCACTCACTCCTTGGCTGTTTGCTGTGCGCAAAATGGCTGCTGCGCCTCAACGCACAAATTACAGTCACTGGACTTTACAGTATATCCTTTGAAGGGCTTTAAGATATCTCGATGACACGATAAGGTGCTATGTCAAATGCAAGGATTATTATTATTAATAATAATGTGGGTCATCTCCCACTTCCCTCACCGTTGGCTCGTTGTCAGACTCCGCCACTGTCAAGCTCGCCGGGACGTTACCCCGGGTGAAGGGCGCTATATAAATGCAAGTTGTTGTTGTTGTTGTAATCCTTGCATTTGATATAGCGCCTTATCGCTCCATTGAGGCGTCTCAAAGTCTTTCACAGAATATATTGTAAATGGATTGACTGTGTATTTTGTGGGTGAAATGCGACTGCCAATTGCGCACAGCAGTGTCCCACAAATAGTCACGTATGAAGTAGCCAAGTTTTTTTGTAAGAAACAGCTGGATGCTATGATGGAAGGATGGGAATAATAATAAGAATAATCATAATAATAATAATAATCCTTGCATTTGATATAGCACCTTATCGTGTCATCGAGATATCTCAAAGTTTTGGCCAGGACACCTGTTGAGAGAAACTCCCTTCTCTTCTTGAATAGTGCCATAGCATCTGACAGGCAGACGGGACCTCGGTTTAATGTCTATCTGAAGGAAGGCACCTCCGAAAGCAAAACACACCCCCAGCGCTGCACTGGAGTGTCGTCTTAGACTATGTGATTCCGAGCCCTGAGGTGGGGGGTTTGAACCCACAACCTTCCTACTCAGGGGCGAGAGCGCTACTGTCTGAGCCGAGCTGACCATGGAGCGGTTGCTTGGAATGAGTAATGAAGGCTTGGGTATCTGGTATATGTCTCACTCCAAAAGCGGAGAGCTAATTATGTAATATCAGACCCAGCCTGAGCTTAAAAAACTTGCTGACCTGGGGCAAAAGCATCTGTCTGTGCACAGATGTATTGTAGAAGTCTAACGAGCATGACTAAGGGTAACCTGAGCTGCGCACTAGTAGACTTGGTTGTGTTTATTTTGGAGAAACGTGCACTCAATTCAATTGGAAATTTACAGTGAAAAAAATCAGATGAAGTTACCACGGTTTAAACTGAACAGGCTTCAAAATATTTTCGTTAGAAAGTGCTTTTGTTTCCACAGTTTGCATTCACTCAGTCACTTGGTGGGGGCCAATGGGGTCCTGGAACCTCACGCGTCCTTTCAAGGGAAGAAAAACAACCGCAAACAAAATCGCATTGACGCAGCGCCTTTCACGTCAGGAGGACGTCCCAGGGTGCTGGACCGTTAAGGGTTTGCGGCCGAGCTGGGGTTTGGAATCAAGAGCAGTAGAAGGGAAGGGAGGGGGAGTGGGAGGGTGGCCGAAAGCACGATCGAAGAGAAAAGTCTTGAGATGGGTCTTGAAGGAGGCGAGAGAGGAGGAGTGGGGAGGGTGAGGCAGAGGGGTTCCGGGATGGAGTTCCAGAGGACGGGAGCAAAAAAGGCTGAAGGCCCGACCGCCGATGGTGGAGTGGGCAGGGCGGAGGACATGAGGCAAGCCTGCGTGGGTGCATAAGCATCAGGAGAGCCAATCACGGGGGCATTCAGGAAATTTCTGATCACCCAAGTTCTGATCAACCCCGTTTACTGCCAGCACTCTGATTATTTTTTGCCCAGCCGGGTGTCTGACACACGCGGAAACCCATCACCGTGCTTAAGAGCATCCAAACCAAACTGAGAATTCCATGCAGCCCACCTACACCTGGAAATCCCAGAGATAGATGGTTGGGATGGAATGCGCACTCTCTTCCTGGAGGGACACATCCTGCTCACCTAATTCCAGAAAGTTTTAGGCGCAGGTTGACACGAGCCAAGGCTTGTGGACTCCAGAGTGTGAGTTGGGGTAACTGCTGGATTCTAACCCGCTAAAAAGCATAGCTTGCCAGTGAGAGCACTGTCTGGCAAGCTTTCCCGCTGCTTGTCCAGCTAGGACCACCCCTACCCGTTATGGCTTTGACTAGCAGATGAATACCAATACTGGAAAGCACATTCATCATCATCATCATTATTATCATCATCATTCTTGCATTTGACACAGCGCCTTATCACGTCATTGAGAGGTCTCAAAGTGCTTCGCAGAATATACTTTAAAATGAATTTACTGTGTACTTCATGGGCGAATTTGGCAGCCAATTGCGTACAGCAGTGTCCCACAAACAGTCATGGATTGAGTGACAAAATTATTATTTTTATATATAGAAAAAAAAGCTGCCGTGTAGATGCAAGCAGGATACATTGTATAAAATGCGATTATAGAATCAGAAGATATTTGGATAAAATTGGCAAACCTCAATAGCTGAGAAAACATTCTAAGCCCCACCAGAGCAGTAAATAGTGTATAGAATAGACTGTTCCTTCAACAACAACAACAACAAGATTCCATTTATAGAGCACCTTTCACGTCAGGAGGACGTCCCAAGGCGCTGTACAGTTGGGTCAGGACCCGAGCAAGGGGGAAATGGTCAGGGTGAGGGGAGAGAAGGGAGGGAGCGAGGAGGGGGTAGAGAGTCGAGAGTGGAGCTGAAGGCACAGTCAAAGAGAAAGGTCTTGAGACCGGCCTTGAAGGAGGAAAGGGAGGAGGCAAGGCGACTGGGGGATAGAGTTCCAGAGCCAACAGGGATTAACATTGATTAACTTCTTTCTAGCAGGATATCCACATCTATGATAAGTTATTTGTTTATTCTGGGCCAATTGGCGCAGGGAGAGGGGGGGCGTGCGGGGAGGGGAGTACCGAGGGCAGACAGCGTCAGTGGAACCGCACCCCAGCAATAGGAGGGCAGCCCAGGGGGCAGAAAGGTACAGGCCAATGGGGAGAGAATTAGAAAAAAATATACATTCAACAACTTGTATTCATATAGCGCCCTTCACGTGGGGTCGCTTCACAGAGTGCTCAGCAATGGGGGAGTCTGACGCCGAGCCAGGGGGAGAAGGAGGTGGGAGGTGATCATAAGCACGATCAAAAAGGAAGGTCTTTAGGCGCGATTTGAAGTTGGGGAGGGAGGGGCAAGGCGGAATGGATTGCAGGAGAGAGTCCCAAAGTTTCGGGGCGTAGTGGCTGAAGGTGAAATGGAGTGGAAAATATATACTGTAAACTCCTGATGACTCAATTCTGTCTTAACTTGTCACCACTATCATGCTGTCAATATCTGCATTTATGTATATATTCATGCATATAGCTAATTTGCCGCTCGCTCCTGATATCTCGTCTTCAAGCCCTTTTTTCCCTTGGAGGGATCAATTGTTAGGGGTTTATTGTATACCTATTTGCCCTACCGACATGGTTACTCCCTTCGCTCAGTGAGCACTGGTCTGCTTCATGTTCCCCGTCCTATCCACCCCATCAAGGTTTTTCCGCCATTCTGCTTTCGCTCTCTGGAACTACATCCCTCCGACTCCCTCCCTCCCTCACCTTGTTCAAGGTCCATCTAAGCACCTCTATACCCGCTCTGGCCGTCATCTTTCCCACTCCCCAGCCCCAGCTCAGGAGCCAGTATTGTTAAAATGCCTTGGGATACGCTCCCGACGTGAAAGGGGCTTTAAATAATAGTATAATAATCTTTGCATTTGATGTAGCTCTTATCATGTCTTCGAGACGTCTCAAAGCACTTCACAGAATATACTGTAAAGTGAATTGACTGTGTATTTTGTGGGCGAAACGTGGCAGCCAAACAGTTGTGGATTGAGTGACCACATTTTTTTCTGTAGTTTTATTGGAACATGATATTGATTAAAATCAGGGAGAACATGAAATATGAGGATTTGTGGTTTAATTAAATTGAAACATTAATTCCGAATGCTATTCTAGTCAGATCAAAGTTGAGAATGCATACTGCTGGTTGTTATAATAGTGTTTTTTTAAGGAAATATAGGAAATTTACATCACAAATGTAAATTTTGTGATGTAAATTTCCTATATTTCCTTTAAATATATAGTCTATATTTCCTATATATCACAAATGTAAATTTGTGACAAATATAATGTTGTATTCTTTAATTGCCTTTATCTGTCAATCTAGCTACTTCCATATCATGCTGGTACCGAAGTGATTTAGGAGAGTGAAGACTAGGGTGCAGTATTGGCTGCCTACAATTTCACAGTCACTATATTCTAAAGTGAAATCCCGTGAAGTGGTTTGCAACAATTTAACGACGCAATGATATGCCATATCAAAAGCATGGATTATTATCACTATCTGTCAGATGTCTTCAATGTAATAATAAGAATAATCTTTGCATTTGGTACGTACTACCTTTCATGTCAGGAGGAAGTCCCAAGAGCTTCACGGGATTTAGTGTAAAACGTAGTGACTATGTATTGTCCACAAGCAGAAGTGAAGCGAATGACCGATTTTATTTGGGGGATTGTTGCAGTACGCTACACATCTGCCTTTCGCCGTTGAGTGGCCGACTTCTTCCGTGTAGAAGGCATGCGCAGGAATTGACGCTAAAAGTGACCCGGCGACCAAGAAATGTTAACTGCAGCCATTTTTTTGAATGTTACAACATGTGGGTCTGAGGTTATGAACCCCACGACACCACTTCGTTCTAATGGGGATAGTTTATATTTCACCTCCGTCCCCATAGCCCTTTAAAGATGCCTTGCTCTTTCGCCAGACTCCTCAATGCCTCTCGTCCTCAGGTCTTTGTCTGTCAGTCTCTCTCTTAAACATCCCAATTGATTCTGCTACTAGAGCTTTCTGGGGCAGTGCATTCCACATCCTCACAACCCTCTGTGGCTGGAAATATCTCCTGACCTCAGCTCTAACCTTCTTGGCTCTGATTGTAGAAGTTGATTGGGTCTTGAGACGGGCCTCGAAGGAGGCAAGGGAGCGGACGCGAGGCGAAGGGACTGTGGGATGGAGTTCCAAAGGGCGGGGGCAGAAAGACGCTGATACAATGGTACCAAAATCCATTCCGAGATGTGTTAAAGTGCTTTGCTGCACTCAGGGCAGTGTTAGCTACCGGCAAGTTGGAAGAAACGGAGACTGGCAAAAGTGATGTGCCGGACTGGGTTTGGAATGTGTATAACTTAAGAGCGAGAATGATTCAACTGTGGAAAAAGACAAGCTCTGAAGTTAACTATTCGCCCTGGAGAACTGATGGCAAGGCAACGAGAGACCCAACCCGAACAGAGCCCTGAAGCACACAAGACTGAAGCGAGGCCATTAGCCTCTAAGTGCTACTTGGAATTGCTGAGACGGTTATAAATAGCCATCGCAGGCACAGCTAAATATAACCCATGCCAGCGATCAAATACATTAAGCAGCTACTAAACGACAAAATCATTCGCAAAGTTCAATCTCTCTGGGCAATGTCCTGCCACAAGGTACGTCTTTTACACACTCCCGCTCTTTCCTGCGATCTGCACTTAAAGTGTGACTTTGCTAAGATTTCTAAATGATTGCCAGCACCTCCACGCTACACTCCAGGCTAGTACCCTATCACTACCATCTTCGCCCGGCTCCACTGGCTCTTCATCCCCCAGAGGATAAGAGTTCAAAATCCTCGTCCTCGTTCTCAAAGCCCTCCACGGCCTTGCTCCTCCCTGCCTCTGTGACCTACTAACTCCATACCGCTCCCTCCACTCAGCAGGCTCCAGCTTGCTCCATGTCCCCCACCCTTTGGAACTCCATCCCACAGCTCCTCCGCCTCGCCCCCTCCCTTGCTTCCTCGAAGGCCGTCTCAAGATCCTCCTCTGCAACTGAGCCTTCGGTCACCCTCCTACCCCCTACCCTCCCTGCCCTCCAACCCTCCTGATCCCAAGCCCCAGCTCGAGTCCAAATCCCTGACTGTCCAGCGCTGTGGGACATCCTTCCGAAGTGAAAGGCGCTGTACGAATGTAATTTGTTGTTTTTGTTCTTCAAAACTCTCAGAACAAGTAACTGGTGGAAGGCTGGGGGAGGGGTAACTGGTAACTGGTAATCTAACCCGGGTCTGCAGAAACACTAACCAGTTTGTTCACGTGATATGAGAAGTGGCTTTTATAAACAGCCTCTGAACAACGAAAGGCTCCTTTAATATTGTGCTTGCAGCCCTCACTTACACAGCAACTAGGCGGCAAGTCACAAAAAGCAAGCGAATTATTTGCCAGAAGCGCACGTGAAATGTAGATTTAGGAACCTAAGAGCACAGGACATCGAGCCTATTCCATAACCTTATTAGATCTTATGAGATGCGTGCCTGAGCTGCGAGCAGGAAAATGGTGGCGAAACATCTCAGACATTTCATGCCGAGCTATGTTGCCCACCAGGAGGCTCACAGAAAGTTCCTGGTACCTTCCATAGTGAGGGTTTGTTGTACACCAAATTACCAACTAGTCACTATTTTCCTGGGAGGGAGGGAGAGAGGGAGGGAGGGAGGTTAAGGGAGGTTAGCGGGGTCTCCTCGGAGCTCCAGGTGACATGCTTGGCCACAGATAGTTGGAATAGTGTCCAACCTCTGTGATGGTCTCTAGTCCGGTTCCTGAGCCAGGTGGGTCCTCTGTATTCCAGGGTACTGCAGGACCTTGAAGGGTAGACCAGTCATCGTGGGCAGAGAATCCTCCCACACAGCTCCTGTTAACCCTGCAAGCCAAAGCCCTAATAGGTAGGGTGGTCCTAGCTGGACAAGCAGTGGGAAAGCTTGCCAGACAGTGCACTCAATGGAAAGCTATGCGGTTTTAGCTGGTTAGACTCCAGCAGTTACCCCAACGCACACTCTGGGGTCCTACCCAGCCTTGACTCTTGCCAACCTGTGCTTCATACTTGCCGGTATTAGGTGAGCAGCCTACGTCCCTCGGGCAGAGAGGACAGATTCCATTCCAATAGACCGGGATTTCCACGTGTAGGTGGCATGTATGGGACTCTCAGTTTGGTTTAGACGCTCTTAAGCACGGTGATGGGTTTCCATACGTCAGACACCCGGCCGACCCAAAAAGACTATTAGATCTTGGAAGATGTTTTAATCCCAATGCCTTGCTCTTTCGCCAGACTCCTTGATACCTGTACTACTCAGATCTCTTAAACATCCCAATTGATTCTGCCCCTAGAGCTTTCCGGGGCAGAGCATTTCACATCCTCACCACTCTCTGCATGAGGAAATGTTTCCTGACCTCAGTTCTGACTGCATCTCCCCACCACCCCACCCCATACCATATTGGTTCCCTCAATCAAGAGTCCACTACCTAATCTGTCAATTCCTAGTGCTGGACTGGCTGGAGGGATGTGTCTTGTTCGCTTAATTCGGTTCGGATTATTAGGCCCAGGCTTTCATCGTAGCCTTCAAGTCTAGTGTTCATTTCTGGCAACTGTGTATTTTGTAGGCTAAAGGAGGCAATCGATTTACACACAGCAGGGTCCCACAAAAGGCCATGAGGTGAATACATTTTAATTTGGGGGATTGTTGGCCAGGACACTGGGAAAGAGAAACTCCCCTCTTTCTTCGAAAATGCCATGGGATCTTTAACATCCACCTGAACAGGCAAACGGGACCTTGGTTTAACTTCTCATCCAAAGGATGAAGGTACCTCCGACAATAAAACGCACCCCCCCCCCCCACCCTCCCCAGTGCTGCACTGGAGCGTCAGCCTGGACTGTACGAGTTTCAAGTCCCAACCTGTATAATAACGTCAAGTACAATAACTTCAATAAGTTTCCCCTGGTAGGAGAATCTATAACCAGGGGTCACTGTCTTAAAATTAAGGGTCAGCCTCTTAGAACAGAGTTGAGGAAACATTTCTTCACTCAGAGGGTAGTGAACTTATGGAATTCACTACCCCAGAAGGCTGTAGATGCTCAGTCCTTGAACATTTTCAAGGCTGAGACTGATAGATTCTTGAAAAATAGAGGGATTAGGGGATATGGGGATAGGGTAGGTAATCAGAGTTAGGTGAGAAGATCAGCCATGATCTTATTGAATGGCGGAGCAGGCACGAAGGGCCGAATGGCCTACTCCTGCTCCTAATTCTTATGTTCTTATGTTCTTAATAGGATTTTTCCTCCTCCCCCGCCCTCCGAGTGATGAAGTTATCATTGACGTAAGCTTCAAGCAGGGAGAGAATGATTAATGCTCATTATTAAGCAATTATGCACTTGCGGCACCTCTGGCAGGTTGCCTTGAGGTAAATGTTTAACCTTTGTGATTCCAGGCCGGTGTTGGTTTCACACGCATCAGACGGAGAGGTTTCCGTGCGGTAGCACTGAGGTCCTGGGGTCTGTAGCCACCTCCGACTTTAACCCGGGAGCACAGCAACGGACGGGGAAAATGGCCAACATGGGTCTGCAGCTAATCGGCTTCTTCCTGGGCCTCCTGGGCTGGTTTGGCACGGTGATCACCACCATCATCCCGCACTGGCGCAGGAAGGCACACGTGGGCGCAAACATCATCACGGCCATAGAGGTGATGGAAGGGCTGTGGATGCAATGCATCTGGCAGTCCACTGGCATCTACCAGTGCCAGGTGCACCGCTCCCAGCTGGCACTGTCCGACACCCTCCGAGCGATGCGGGCAATGATGGTCATCTCCTGCCTGCTCTCTGCCCTGGGCGCGGGGGTCTCCGTGGTGGGCATGAAGTGTACGGTGTGTTTGGGGGACTCCTCGGCTAAGGGGCACATGGCTGTGCTGGGAGGCATCTGCTTCATCCTCGGAGGCATCTCGTGCCTGATCCCGGTGTCCTGGTCAACCAGCGACCTCGTAAGAGAGTTCTACAACCCCATCTTTCTGTCCGGGAGCAAATACGAAATGGGAGAGGCTTTGTACATCGGCTTTGTGTCAACGGCCCTGACTCTCGTCGGGGGATTTCTGCTCTGCTTGTCTTGCCCTCGGCGGCCCAGACCCCTCCGACCTCCGCACCTCCAACCTCCGCACCTCCAACCTCCACACCTCCCACGCTTCCAGGCCGCCCCTCAGTGCCGAACTCCAACTGCCTACAAAGGCAACCACCCGCCTTCAAGGACGTCAGCCTCACACAGTGGCTACCGTTTGCAGGACTACGTGTGAGGACTGTGTGCAAAGAGAGAGCAGGAGCGAGAAAGAGACTGTGCAAGGTATTTCCGTCACTTTTTTTACTTTGAACAACCGCAGCACCTCATTGTGAAGCTTTGGATGCTGTGTGAGACCGTAAGATTGGGATTTGTCCATGTTTAAGGTTAGCTTGTGTATATTATAATAATAATAACAATAATAATAATAACCTTTCAATTTCGCACAGCACTTTTCATGTTGAACGACGCTTGAAAGGTTTTACTGTAAAGTGCGGTGACTGTGCATTTGTAGACAAACGTGGAACATCTCAACGTCCCACACACAGCCATGAAGTGAATGAGCAATTTTATCCAGGGGGACTGTTGCCCAGGGCAGCGGGAGAATCTTTCTTCTCTTGTTCAAGAGTGTCGCGGGATCTTTAACCTCCACCTGAACAGACAGACAGATTGACGAGGCTTTGGTTTAACGTCTCACCTCTGACAATGCAGCGCTGTTCCCAGCACTTCACTGGAGTGTCAGGCTGGACTATTTGGGTTCAAAATCCCTACGTGGGGCTTGAACCCACAACCTTCTGATTCAAAGGCGAAAGTGCTACCTTCCGAGCTTGGCTGGCAGCCATTTGCAAGCCATGATGTTAGCAAAGTATAGTATATCACAACACACAATACTGAATTCAAGCCTGATATCTGGAAGACAGTGGCAGTTAAAATGTGCTTTGGATAATGGAGACACATTACCAAGATTGCTCTGCAACACGAGAGGACATCACGGAAACCCAAATTGACTTGTCCCAATTTTAAGAGGCATCGGAGTGTACTCAAACTTTGATCTGAAAGTGGTAGGATGTAAAGCAGGTTCTGTGTTAATTGGTTGAGTCCTCTAGCGTACTCCGCAAGCAAGTGGACCCGGGTTCAATTCCCGGGTAGGGCAAAACCTACGGCAAGTTTCCTTACTTACCTGCCCGTACCCTCCGTTCCTCTGGCTCCGGTCTGCTCCGCATCCCCCGCACTAACCGCCCTACCATCGGTGGCCGGGCCTTCAGCCTCTCAGTCCCTAGGCTCTGGAACTCCATCCCCCAGTGCCTTCGCCACCTCCTCCCTTTCCTCCTTCAAGGCCGGTCTCAAGACCTTTCTCTTTGACCGTGCCTTCAGCTCCCCTCTCAACTCTCTACCCCCTCCTCGCTCCCTCCCTTCCCTCCCCTCACCCTGACCATTTCCCCCCTGCTCGGGTCCTGACCCAACTGTCCAGCGCCTTGGGACATCCTCCCAACATGAAAGTGCTCTATAAATGAAATCTTGTTGTTGTTGTTACCCCACCGCCTCTGTTTACCTAGCAGTAAGTAGGAACCCGGTTGTTAGCCGATTGACGGATTGCTTTCTGGGGGGTAATAATTCCTTCAGAAAAAAAAACATTTTGGTTATTGAAAAACGCTGGTTACTCAATCCAAGACTGTTTGTGGGACACCGGCACAATTGGCTGCCGAGTTTCAGCCACAAAATATACGGTCAATTCACTTTACAATATATGCTGCGAAACGCTTTGAGACGTCTCAACAATGTGATAAGGCACTATATCAAATGCAAGTAGTATTATCATTATGAATTTTCCCATGCGCAATTTCAAAAGATAACCTTATGTTTTCGTTGCAAACAAAAAATCTTGGCTTTGGGCTATGATTTGTAAAGTCAGGGGCTTGACGAATAACTTTTTTTTGTAACCGAGCTACCAACCCCAGATGTTTGCATGAGACTGGAACAATAACACAGGGAGCATGTTGTCCCCGGGGCCCAATTTTATGAGGTGTTGTTTAACAGGTCACCCATCCATCTCGCAGCTCCCTCTGGTTACCCTTTCACTGAAACCAGTGGCTCAGCTAATGGAGCAATTTGCTATTTGGAATCACGTCGTTTTTTATCCCCTTATAATAATCCTTACTTTTGATACAGCGCCTTATTACGTCTTAGAGATGTCTCAAAGCGCTTCACAGAATATACTGTAAAGTCAATTGACTATAGAATTTGTGAGTGAAACATGGCAACCAATCATGCACAGCAGTGTCCCACAAACAGTCTTGGATTGAGTGACCAAATACTGATTTATTTATTTTCGAGAGGCATTATTACCCCCAGAAAGCGATCCACCAATCGACTAACAACCAGGTTCTTACTTACAGGTAAACAGAGACGTGTGGAATAAGAAAACTTGCTGAACGTTTCACCCAGCCCTCGCCTTAACGCCTCATCTCAAGAATGGGGCCTCCATCAATGCGGTGCTCTCCCTCCTCCCCCAACACTGGACTGGACCATCAGCCTTGTCTGTGATTTCCAAATTCTGGCGTGGGGGCTTTAACCCACAACCTTCTGACTCAGAGGCGAGAGTGTATGTAGAATTATTAGGCTCAGTACGTGTATTTAATCAAAACACCAATTGCTGTTTTTGTGTGTCAAAACACAGCAGGAAAGGTTCTTGAGAAGGCTCCTGGTGGTTAAAGAAAATAATAATAATCCTTGCATTCAATGTAGCACCTTATCACATCATTGAAATGTCTCAAAGCGATTCACAGAATATACTGTCAAGTAGATTGACTGTATATTTTGTGGGCGAAATGCGGCATTGTCCCCGTTAAGTGATCCGCCAATTGACTAACAACTGGGCTCTTACTTACTGCTAGGTAAACAGAGATGTGTGGAGTAACAAAACTTGCCTAAAGATCAAGGATTCGTCTTATCTATTATTTTATACTAATAAAACGACAATGTCTGTCTGCGCTTCAAGTAGGATCACAATAACCGATTGAAGTAGAGACATGATTTATACCTCATTGGAATGGTCGTGTGTCTGGGAGTGGCATGGGCATATTTGTTTTCGGCTATCTCCTATTATTCATGAGCTGCTTTCAGTTTTGTGTTTTTCGCTACAGTTACACCTGGTGGCCGCCGAGTCCAAGTGGCTCTGTGGCATTATGCATCTACTGCAGTTACACCTGGTAGCTGCGCCGGCTGCCGTGGCGCTGTGGCATCCTGCATCACAGAGCACGCATGTCGCCAGCGGTGGGAACAAAATAAAGAACACAGACGAAGCTAAGTTGCGGCAACAACAACAAAATTACATTTTTAAAGCACCGAGTTCTCCCACTGAGTCCTCCTGAAAGGAGTCCTCCCGGTTAAGTAATAGATAAAGATGAAATGTCTGTCTATCTGTGTGTCAGTCTACATTCCATATTGGATCCTTTGGTTGCAAATGCAGCTGCAACAGGTACAGCTAGTGTATACCATAAAAATTATAAAAGGAAACTTGTGTGAGATTTCATCCCACCCGGGAATTAAACCCGGGTCCTCTCACTTGCGAGGTGAGTGCTCAAACCAATACGCTACAGGACTCCAGGTTGGAGACTTAAGCATAGTGATGGGCTTCCACACTTAACAGACACCCGGCTGACTAAAATAAATCCATGCAATACCACTTGGGGGGATATGATTTGGGGGGGGGTGGGGGCTAACTATCATAAATTGACACCAGTCATGGACTCACCTCTCAACTCTTTTAAAAAAAAACCTCATCATTTTAAAGACTTCTATTTATTTCCTGACCATCGACCAAATGGGCAAGGTGTCAGCCAGGCTCCGCTAGCAGCACTCTCACTGCTGTGTCAGAAGGTTGTTGGTTCAAGCCCCATGTCAGCACTTGAACTCACCATAAGTCCAGAGCAGAACCTGCCGTGACATTGTCAGAAGTGCCATCCTTCAGATGAGATGTTAAACTGAGGTCCAGCAGGTGCTTGTTCAGGTGGATATTAGCACTACTTGAAAAGAGAAGGGACTTTCTCTCTACTGGGTTCCTGACAATCCCTCAGATAAAATTGGTCATTCACTTTGTGGCTATTGGGGGACATTGTTGTGTGTGTATGATCTGCCATGTTTGCCTACATATACATTTCACAATGAAATCCTGTGAAATGCTTTAAGATGTCCTCCTGACCTGAAAGATAATGTATCAAATGTAAGGATTATTATTGTGTTATTAATTTTAGGTCCCATCTACTTTGAGATTCGGGGGGTGGGTGGGGAGTGGGGGGGGTGTAGGACCACTCTCTCATCTACCCTTGGCATAGGGACCACTCTCTCATATACCCTTCACTAACTTCCTGTGTGATTCTGTGCACTCTTTCCTTACCTTTTATACTCTTCCTGCAACGGAGTGGCCAAAAATATACATAATCTTCCACATTGGCTTTTGCGAATGGAGGATGAGGGGTTGGCCAACCAAGTGTCTGACACATGTGGAAACCCATCATCGTGCTTAAGAGTTTCAAAACCAGACTGAGAGTTCCATATGTCCCACCTACTCATGGACATTTCCTGGTGTCTGGAATGGCACGCGCACTCTCTCCCCAAAGAGACAAATCCAGTTTGCCTAATCCTGAGAGTATTAGATGCAAGAACCAAGGCTTGTGCTTCCCAGAGAGCGCATTGGGAAAACTTAATCATTTATTTAAGAGTCTAAACTACATAGATTGTCATTGGGAAGCTTCCCATCTCCTTGCCATTGAGAGCGCTGTCTGACAAGCTTTCCTGATGCTTGTCCAGCTAGGACCACCCTAACCATTAGGGCTTTGGCTTGCAGGGTTAACAGGAGCTGAGTGGGAGGATTTCAAGTACTGCCAATGAGCCAGGCTGTCCTGTTATCAGAAGTGCCCTGGACTGCGGACCCGCCTGGCTCAGGAACTGGACTGGAGACTGTCACAGAGGCTTGGCTCGATTCTGATATTCCATTGCCAAACTTGCTCACCTTAGAGCCAGTTCAGCTTCAAGGAGATGCCATTTATCTCCCCAACCCCGGAGGCTAGTCACTCGATGCTTCAAGATGCAAAGCCAAGAATTCCTTTTGCCATTTTTACAACATTTATCTCCCTGCTCACTATTTTTAATGACCCATAAATCTGCACACCGCGATCCAGAAAATATTTAAGTTGAATATCTTATCCCTCTCTGTACCACCACCACCAACTTGAATTTATATAGCACCCTTCACGCAAGGCAGCATCTCAGAGCTCTTAAAATGC